GAGCGGTGGGATCATTTTGAACCAGAGATCATTTTGAACCAAAAGCACAGACCTGAAGAGGTTTGTTTGTTTTTTAACTGAAAGCAGCTAGAGCTTTTTCTGTCTCTTTGCCTGGCGGCAGAGGTGGTAGTTTTTTAACAAAAGGATTTTTCTGTAGGCTGGGAACAGCTATCAGAGGCAAAGATATCAGGTTACAGCACAGAGAATTGGGAATTCACAAGCAGATTTTTTTTTCTTTCTAACTCTCGGGTATAGCTAGGTTGAACACAGAGAGGCTAGGATGACAGAAAGCAATGTCCAACAGAAACTGGAATTAGCCAGCTCTGAAGCTGAGGAAAGACAGAAGGAACATGAAAGACTGGAAGAACTCGGACAGATAAAGATTGATGCACATGCAGCCAAAGAAAAAGTTGCTAGGGAGGCAGAAATGGCCAGAGAAAAAGCCAGGGAAAAGACAGAGGAGGCTGCCCAAGAGGCTGCCCACACGAGAGCTATGGAGGCAAAAGAAAAAGAAATGGAGGAGAGGGAAAAAGAGAGGAAGCATGCACTGGAGATAAAGAAGGCAAGGGCTCAGCAGAATTACCGAATAACCCTAACATTCCTTCCCCAACATTCCACAAATGGGAGTGACTATGTCCATAGTATGATGAATCCAGTGATATTGCTGAATATTTTCTCACTTTTGAGAAACTGAAACTGTGCACACTCCATAAAATTCCTGATGCTCATAAGATGACATTGGTCGCAAAATTGACTGGAAGAGCTCTGGACATATTCAACAAGATGCCTGTTGAGGAGGCTTCTGACTAAGATAAATTCAAGGATTTGGTTTTAAAACAATTTCAAGTTACACCTGAAACTTACAGAGTAAAATTTCAAACCCTTAAGAGAGGGCCTGGACCCAATGTGGCTTATGTAAACCAGATAAAGGATCTGTTAGCTAAATGGGTCAAAGGAAGGGGTGTCCCTGGCTTTGAAGGAGTGTGTGATTTGATGGCTCAGGAACAATTCCTGAATATGTCCGATGACGATATAAACAGTGTTTATGGGTAAGAAAATGGACTCAGCAGAAAATATTGCTTCTTATGCTCAGCAATACGAGCAGTGCCAGACTGCCAGAGAGGCGCAGCAAACCAGAACAAAATGGGTGGAGGGAGGAGAAAGGAACAACCCTGGTCGCAGTTTGAGCAGATACCAGAAGGGACACCCTCAGACCACACCCTACTACTGCGGGCAGCCCAAGGCCCCAACTACACCCCAAGGAAAACTCCAGACACCTTATCGTCCCACCACACTGTTCTCCAGCAACCCACCTCGCCCCAGTGACCAGTCAGTTGTGCGATGTCTTAAATGTAACGAGCTGGGCCATGTAAAGGCCAACTGCCCCAAGAACCCCAACAGATTACAGTTCATTGCACCAGAGTCCCACCAAAGATCCTCAGGCCCAGATGCCTCACAGATACCCTCAGAGCAGAGGGAAACTGTGAGTGTGGGCGGGAAGAAAGTTACAACGTGGAGAGACACCAGAGCACAAGTGTGGCTATCCACCAATCCTTAGTGGACCCCACATGCATCGACCCAGAGGTCCAACTGATGATTCAACCCTTCAAGTTAAACTCTTTTGACTTGCCTACAGCCAAGTTGCCTGTCCAGTACAAGAGCTGGTCAGGAACGTGGACTTTTGCAATCTATGATGATTATCCCATTCCCATGCTGCCGGGGGAAGACTTGGCCAGTCATGTGAAGCTAGCCAAGAGGGTGGGAATGGTCACCTGCAGCCAGGCTAAGCAAGCTGTCACACCTAGCTCTGTTCCAGAGACTTCTACCAGGGCCCAGTCAGAGATGATGGAACTAGACCCCATGCCAACGTCTGCGACAGCAGTAGTGGATCCAGTCCTAGAGACCCAGACAGAGCCAGTCCCAGAACCGGAACTGGCGGGACAACCAGCACCAGAACCATTGCCAGCACTGAATCTAGTGCTTGCAACCCCAACACCAGAGGGCCGCACCGAACCTGCACTGGCAGCAGCAGATAACCCTACACAAGAGACTTAGCCAGAGCCTGAACCCCAACATAGTGCACCAGCGGAGAGCGGTTCACAGTCACCAGAAACAGCCCCATCCCCTATATCGCTTCCAGAGGGACCAAGCCCAGGTCCACAATCCAATGAGGAACTGATGTCTCCAGCATCAAGGGAACAGTTCCAGACCGAACAGGAAGCAGATGAAAGCCTCCAGAAAGCTTGGACAGCAGCACGAAGCAACCCACCACCTCTCAGGACTTCTAATTGATCCAGGTTTGTTGTAGAAAGAGGTCTTTTATACAAGGAAACTCTTTCTGGTGGACACCAGGAAGATTGGCATTCTCAAAGACAGTCGGTAGTTCCAACTAAGTACCGGGTAAAGCTCTTAAGCTTAGCCCACGATCATCCTAGTGGCCAAACTGGGGTGAACAGAACCAAAGACCATTTGGGAAAGTCATTCCACTGGGAGGGAATGGGAAAGGATGTTTCTACCTACGTCTGGTTTTGTGAGGTGTGCCAAAGAGTAGGAAAACCCCAAGACAGGTCAAAGACCCTCTCCAGCCACTCCCCATCATCAAGGTTCCATTTCAGTGAGTAGCTGTGGATATTCTGGATATTTTTTTCCAAAAAAGACACCCAGAGGAAAGCAGTATGTACTGACTTTCATGGATTTTGCCACCCGATGGCCGGAAGCAGTAGCTCTAAGCAACACCAGGGCTAAAAGTGTGTGCCAGGCACTAGCAGACATTTTTGCCAGGGTAGGTTGGCCCTCCGACATCCTCACAGATGCAGGGACTAATTTCCTGGCAGGAACTATGAAAAACCTTTGGGAAGCTCATGGGGTAAATCACTTGGTTGCCACTCCTTACCACCATCAAACAAATGGCATGGTGGAGAAGTTTAATGGAACTTTGGGGGCCATGATACGTAAATTCGTAAATGAGCACTCCAATGATTGGGACCTAGTGTTGCAGCAGTTGCTTTTTGCCTACAGAGCTGTACCACATCCCAGCTTAGGGTTTTCACCATTTGAACTTGTATATGGCTGCAAGGTTAAGGGGCCATTACAGTTGGTGAAGCAGCAATGGGAGGGGTTTACACCTTCTCCAGGAACTAACATTCTGGACTTTGTAACCAACCTACAAAACACCCTCCGAACTTCTTTAGTTCTTGCTAAAGAAAACCTAAAACCTAAAAACCTAAAACCTAAATCAAAAAGAGCAAAAAACCTGGTATGATAAACATGCCAGACAGCGATCCTTCCAAGATCAGGTCATGGTCTTGAAGGCGCTCCAGGCCCATAATATGGAAGAGTCGTGGGAAGGTCCATTCATGGTCCAAGAGCACCTGGGAGCTGTTAATTATCTCATAGCATTCCCCACCTCAAACCAAAAGCCTAAGGTGTACCATATTAATTCTCTAAAGCCCTTTCATTCCAGAGAATTAAAGGTTTGTCAGTTTACAGCCCAGGGAGGAGATGAGGGGGAGCGATAGCTCAGTGGTTTGAGCATTGGCCTGCTAAACCCAGGGTTGTGAGTTCAATCCTGGAGGGGGCCATTTAGGGATTTGGGGCAAAAATTGGGGATTGGTCCTGCTTTGAGCAGGGGGTTGGACTAGATGACTTCCTGAGGTCCCTTCCAACCCTGATATTCTATGATGCTGAGTGGTCTGAAGGTGTCTACTCTGAAGGGAAAAGTGATGGTGGCGTGAAAGAGGTGAACCTCTCCATGACCCTTGGGTGTATGCAGCGACAGCAGATCAAGGAGCTGTGGACTAGCTATGTGCCGACGTTCTCAGCCACCCCAGGACTGACTGAACGGGCATACCACTCCATTGACACAGGTAACGCTCACCCAATTAGAGCTGAACCTTATCGGGTGTCTCCTCAAGCTAAAACTGCTATACAACGGGAGATCCAGGATATGCTTAAGCTTAAGGGGTGTAATCCGCCCCTCTGGCAGTGCATGGGCATCTCCAGTGGTTCTAGTTCCCAAACCAGATGGGGAGATACTTTTTTGCATGGACTACCGTAAGCTAAATGCTGTAACTCGCCCAGACAACTATCCAATGCCACACACAGATGAACTATTGGAGAAACTGGGATGGGCCCAATTCATCTCTACCTTGGACTTAACCAAGGGGTACTGGCAGGTACCGCTAGATGAATCTGCCAAGGAAAGATCAGCCTTCACCACACATCTCGGGCTGTATGAATTTAATGTGCTCCCTTTCGGGCTGCGAAATGCACCCGCCACCTTCCAAAAACTTGTAGATGGTCTCCTCGCGGGATTGGGAGAATATGCAGTCGCCTACCTTGACGACGTGGCCGTATTTTCGGATTCCTGGGCAGAACACCTGGAACATCTACGAAAAGTATTTGAGCGCAAAAAAGAGGCAAGACTAACTGTTAAGGCTAAGAAGTGTCAAATAGGCCTAAACAGAGTGACGTACCTTGGACATCAGGTGGGTCAAGGAACTATCAACCCCGTACAGGCCAAAGTGGATGCTATCCAAAAGTGGCCTGTCCCAAAGTCAAAGAAACAGGTCCAATCCTTCTTAGGCTTGGCTGGATATTACAGGCGATTTGTACCGCAATACAGCCAAATTGCCGCCCTACTGACAGACCTAACCAAAAAGAAACAGCCAAATGCAGTTCAGTGGACTGAAGAGTGTCAGAAGGCCTTTAACCAGCTTTAAGCGACACTCATGTCTGACCCTGTGCTAAGGGCCCCAGATTTTGACAATCCGTTCCTGGTAACCACAGATGCATCCAAGCGTGTTGTGGGAGCATTTTTAATGCAGGAAGGACCGGATCAAGAATTCCATCCTGTCGTGTTTCTCAGCAAGGAGAAAGAGTTCAGAGTGGGGAGGGAACCCTAACAGACACCTTCAAAAGAAATGAAGCAAACATCAACTAAGGTAACCTGAAGTTATATCAACTAAGTTAAACACCTAGAAAGGAGAGAGATAATTTACCTTTTTATGGAGGGCATGAAATTCACTATACCTCTTTTCGACAAAATGTTTTCTTCCACTCATCAGCACCTCTATCTTAAAGACCTGTAAAAATATCAATTAAAAAGAGATTAATTTCACCCACTCAAAACATTCAGTCATCTAACACATTAATTTTGTGACCATGATGTATTTCATTCCTTTAATTACAGTAACTGATCCCCAAAAATCCAGAAGACTCAGGAGACACTGGAGTAAAACATTGATTAATGAGGACTCTGACTAAATGCTCTACTAATAAGTTTGTTCAGCAAACACATTTAAAGGCAATTAAGCTTTGGATTTTTTTTTAATCTTTAGCTTTTATTATACAATAATAATCTCTTATAGAAATTATTTCACTGAAGGGAGAAGAAAACAAAATGGCAATGAAAACATAAACAGAACAAATACAGGGATTTTGTTTCTCTCTCTCTCTCATACAATGCTGCATAGTAACTGCCACACATATGTACAATATGTTCCTCATGACAGAAGTAGTATGCCTTCTACAACAGAAGAGAAATAAATGTGAACAGTACATTGTAGGTTAATTTCTTCCTAACCTGCATATTCATCTCTAATCTCAGCTGGGCTTGTTCTACTGTTTACACCATGGAAAAAAATGTGGTAAAGGCTCGTTTTCTTTGCATGATACGTATGACAGCTGTTGCTGCTGCCTGTGGAAGGTTGAAAGGCCAGACAAAGAAGCTCTCTCGATCCACTAATTAGTGGCGACTAACATGACATTTGCTTGATTCTCAGGTCACTGGATCAAGTTCTGAGGGCAAGTGATGAGAAATATTTTGAAATGCTTGTGAAAACATGGTCTATTAAACGAAGACAAGATCAGTCAAAAAGCAATGTAAAGAGGGGTGTCTGCTGTTTCCAGCAGTTCTTACACTTGTTCTGTTTTGCTTAGGAAATACTGGAAGTAATTATTCCCAGGATGGTGAGAGGCTATACAAAAGAACAGTATATTACATAAGGACCCAGATTTTGGCCCACTCTACTGTCCTTTAAAATGAGTTTGGAAACACTGTTCACACTCAGATCCAGATAAAATGATTTCTACCAGAGTCTGGCCAGATAGCATGGCTCAGACTAAGCTATTCAGGAGTGAGTTGGAACCCATTTTTCAGTGTATGGTGGGTTCTCTGCTAGAACATGTTTTTTAAACATGATTCAAATATGCAATGATTTTCACTGGTTGCCCAAACATGTTAAAAACCAATTTAGTTAGAATCTTACTGAAGCCATGTTAAACATGGGCTTTAATTTGGTTTGAGCCATAATATGAATAGATCCAGAGTGAAGACAATATTTAGCAGGGTAACTTCACTATATACAGATCTTCATTAATACCAGAATTAGTTTGTACATTATAATCCATTGAAACAATTTGGGATTTCATTCTATTTCACTATAACAGGAATTTTACTATATCCAAGTCACTTTGAGCAGCTTAACCCATTTTTTGGCTACCAGAAACTCTGTCCCCAGAAATTATTTGCTCCTTGCAAAGCTTCAAGACATCAGCAGACATATTTTACAAATTCACAGCTGTAAATGAAATGATATGTATGGAGAAAGGTTTTAAAAGATCAACTTAAAGTTAGCTGCTAATTTAACATATTTTTAATGTCTAAGCTATAAACACTGTAACTTTTAAAATGAGCAGTAGCTGGAAGGGAAATCCTGTCTATATAATGTGCGTGTAAGTCAATTTCAATTAATTGCACCACTTCACCAAAGTAGCATTTCTTTCAGAGTGCATTCCAGAAATACAAGAGACAAAATGCTTTTGAATATGCAGAAAATGAATCATCTTTAGATCTGAAGAACTCTGGAGAATTAAGTGGCTGAGAAAACTGGATACTGGAATATGAACCTGACCAGTTCGGTAGTGATCAAAAGTCATTACCTTTTAATTGCTGTGGTGATCTGTGTAAAATTAATTGATAGTCTCCATTCAGTTTGGAGTGACACATGTCTATGTCACACACACGCAAAAAAATTGTCTCATTTGGCATGCTGGTTAGCAGCCTCAACACATAAACTAAGGAAGGAATGAACATGAAGACTAAACAACACTCCACGTGCGGGTTGAGACACATTGGTGGGGAAGTTTAAGCTGCTGCTCCCTGGGCACTACAAGTCCCCAGGGCTGTCCATCAGACAATTTTCATGAGAATTACAAATTCACGTAAGTCAAGTTTTGCCCTCAGTCACACACATGCAACTTCAGTGAAGTAAATCTGTTTCCCTTTGAAGTCAGTAGAGTTGAATGGTTCTTGCAGGAGGTCAAATTTTGACCCAAGGTGGGGGCGAAAAGGAAATGAAAAGCTCTAGGCAGGCTGTTTTTTCAGTGCATATATCTATTTTATCGCCAACTGATCTATGTTTCAGAACTAGTTTATGAACTATGTAAATAGTTCCAGGGCCCCAGAATTGGTATTTCATTTTTAAGCTCAGATTTTCTCACCAGGGAAGAAACAGGAACGTTTTAATAACTATGCATATAATTACTGGGAATCAAGGAGGCAGCATCCATCAGTTGCAGAACAGAGTAGCTGGTAGCTTTCACAGAGGCTATAAGAGATTTGCCTCAATGGTGTCTGTCCATGATGCTGCTGCCATTTCTACTACAATGAAATCTACTGCCTTCACATCATCTGTTACTTACACCAATATGCAGGCTTGAATCATAGAATATCAGGGTTGGAAGGGACCTCAGGAGGCCATCCAGTCCAACCCCCTGCTCAAAGCAGGACCAATCCCCAATTAAATCATCCCAGCCAGGGCTTTGTCAAGCCTGACCTTAAAAACTTCTAAGGAAGGAGATTCTACCACCTCCCTAGGTAACGCATTCCAGTGTTTCACCACCCTCCTAGCGAAAAAGTTTTTCCTAATATCCAACCTAAACCTCCCCCTCTGCAACTTGAGACCATTACTCCTTGTCCTGTCCTCTTCTACCACTGAGAATAGTCTAGAACCATCCTCTCTGGAACCACCTCTCAGGTAGTTGAAAGCAGCTATCAAATCCCCCCTCATTCTTCTCTTCTGCAGACTAAACAATCCCAGTTCCCTCAGCCTCTCCTCATAAGTCGTGTTCCAGACCCCTAATCATTTTTGTTGTCCTTCGCTGGACTCTCTCCAATTTATCCACATCCTTCTTGTAGTGTGGGGCCCAAAACTGGACATAGGACTCCAGATGAGGTCTCACCAGTGTCGAATAGAGGGGAACGATCACGTCCCTTGATCTGCTCGCTATGCCCCTACTTATACATCCCAAAATGCCATTGGCCTTCTTGGCAACAAGGGCACACTGCTGACTCATATCCAGCTTCTCGTCCACTGTCACCCCTAGGTCCTTTTCCGCAGAACTGCTGCCTAGCCATTCGGTCCCTAGTCTGTAGCTGTGCATTGGGTTCTTCCGTCCTAAGTGCAGGACCCTGCACTTATCCTTATTGAACCTCATCAGATTTCTTTTGGCCCAATCCTCCAATTTGTCTAGGTCCCTCTGTATCCTATTCCTGCCCTCTAGCGTATCTACCACTCCTCCTAGTTTAGTATCATCCGCAAATTTGCTGAGGGTGCAATCCACACTATCCTCCAGATCATTTATGAAGATATTGAACAAAACCGGCCCCAGGACCGACCCCTGGGGCACTCCACTTGACACCGGCTGCCATCTAGACATGGAGCCATTGATCACTACCCGTTGAGCCCGACACTCTAGCCAACTTTCTACCCACCTTATAGTGCATTCATCCAGCCTGGGCCCAGAGTGGGGGGCTTCCTTCCCTCTCGTGGTCTTCCACCCTTGCGACTTACCTGGTGGCCCAGAGCGAGGGGGCTTCATCGACTCTCAAGGTCTGTCACCCCCTCGAGTTACCTGGCGCCACGCCCAGTGTCACCAACAATTCCCTCCTCTGAAAGCACCCAACAAGAGGGACAGGCTGTGGGGTGGACAATCCGGGGGGGGGCACGTGCACCCACGTGTGAAAGAACCCTTCAAAGGTGGTGGTGTTCGCAGCAGCAATGGCTGGGGCTGGGGTCCCTTACTCTCTCTCCATCAAAGGGTCAAACAAAGGAAACCGGACAGGGACACCACCAAGCAGAGAACCTCGGACAGCGCCCACCACTCCTCAAAAGCATCAAGAGAGTCGGTGGACACCGCCCAGAGGAACTCCGCTCGGATACGTGAACGGACCAAGGATCGGAAAACGGCCCCACAGTCACAGGAAACTCCATCGGCCAACCTCCTCTCTCTGGTTTTATAGATGGCCATTTTAGCCAGGGCCAGGAGGAGGTTAACTAGGAGATCCCGCAACTTTGTGAGGCCACGAATGGGGAGTGCATAAATAAAAAAGTGAGGGTAAAAATGCAACCAGAAACGTAATAAAAGATTTGTGAGGAGCCGGAACAGGGGCTGCAGCCTGGCACACTCCAAATATACGTGTGCCAGGGTTTCCCTCACACCACAAAAGGGACAAGTATCTGGGATTGGGTTGAAACGCGCCAAGTACGTGCCCGTGCTCACAGCTCCATGAAGGAGCCGCCAACTGATGTCCCCGACGGGCCTCGGAACCAAGGTGGAATATAGGCTGGCCCACCGGGGCTGCTCACCCTCCAGAGGTGGCAGAAGGTCTTGCCACTTTGTGTCAGGGCGGGACACTAGGGTGAGGGCGTGAAGGGTGTGGAGCATGAGCTTGTATAGATGTTTCCTTGGCACAGTTTGGAAGCATACCGGCTGCAGTTCATACAGCCGGCTCGCAGTAAAGGGGTGAGCGGATCGATTGGGTCTGCGGGGCAGGGGTCCAATTAAAAGGTCTGGCGGGCCTGGGGAAGAGAGTGGGCGGGGCGTGCCCTTGAGCAGGACCCGGTCGCGGTAAGCTCGAGCAGTGGGTGGCAAAGCAGCCGTCGCCTCCTGAAGTACGCGCCGGGGGATACTGAGGTCTGGAGAGCCCCATGTGCTGAGCAAGCATCAGGGGGTCCAGCCAGTCTCCCCGGTCTTAGTCCAGGAGGTCTCCGACTCTCGTGACTTCTGCCAGGATCAAGCT